TGAGAGAAACAAATGAACCACTGGCCTCCTTGTCTTGGATTCATTCAACATGTCTACCTTTCAAAGTCATATTGACTTTGGTGAAGGGCCAGCAGTTGCATGGAGCCAGATTCAGTGGCTAAGGAGGACGAGGACACACCTGGATGTTTTTATGAGCTACCTTTCTACTGGATGACGCAGCATTCCCATCTCATCTTGCAGAGATGCTAATGAAAGAGAATTTCCAGAACTGATTTAGAAAATAGGACCGTCTACGGAACATGTGTGTGCAAAATGAGATGAATGTATCTTTTGGAAATTAATGGCAATGTGTCTTTTACTGAAATACATTTTTAAGAAATAGACTTCCCCTGGATATTTTGAGCCCATCGTTTACCTATTGACATATGTAATTGTGCAGCATGAATAGAAGAAAACCTCATAAATGACCTGCGTGATGCAGGCAAGGATTAGACGGAAGATGAACTTAGCTTTGGTGATAGTGAGCTTTGCTTATGCAAATACAATTGGACTATGGAAAACACTTATATAAAATTGTTTTCAAGCACCCAAGTCACGCTCTGAGCAGTGACCACTGACAAATTCTGATCCTAACTGGGCAGTCTGTGGGAATCATTCTTGGGTTAATTATGTAAGACACAGAAAGAGACTGAGTGCTTTTTCAAACATGCCATCGAATTCTCAGTTCTTTCATTGCAAACTATTGAAGATTTCATATGTGTTTTGTGTCTCATCAAGAAGAGAGTTTTAATGCATTTAAATTACTAAGGTTCATTTATTCACTCATTGAGCTATAGTTTTGGAGACTGTACTCTGTGCCAGAGATCTTGGCTAATCAACGAGAAGACAGGTGTGAAAACATTTTACCAAAGGAGCTGCCGGGCTCGTAGAGATGTGGACGTGCAGCTCAAAGGCAGTAATCTGATAAATGAGTGCTTTTAATGCATAGTTGGCTTTCTTTTCTCTTGGCCTTTTAGTTGTATTTGTCAAAGACACTTCTATTCTTGAAGTACCCACTTAGCATGATTCTCTCTTCAGACTGTTTTCTTACAGGTACATTATGGACCTTGTTTTCTTTGTAGAAACAGAAGCTGGGATCCCCTGGCGTCTGACCTACGCCTTTCTCTTCTTCATGTCCTTCTCACACTGATGCTTTCTCTCGTATTGTGTCAGTTACCCTGTGTCTGCTAGTATCTCACGGGCAGCCTTCGCTTCTAGATTGATGTACCCAGCGGTCCACTGATGTCTCTAGACACCTCACAGCCCGCCTCCAACACACCATGTCCAAGGCAGAATTCCTGGCTCTCTGAACTGTGCCCAACCAATGTCCCAGGCATCTAACCAATGCCATTACTGCCCATCTGGGTGAGCAGGCCAGAATCTAGCAACCACCTGGCACTCTGTTCCCCATCTCATCTCTAACACGCCATTAGTGTATGTTAGTTGTGTCTCTCTTAATATCTCTGGAGTATTTCTCAGGCCCACAGCCACTCTCTTAGGCGAGTCTTTACCTTCTCATACCCAGTGAGGTACCATTCTGAGGCTCTAGCTCCACGGAGGATATCCTCAGGTCCTCCTCCACACAGGAGATATGGTTAGCATTAATTCGTGTAAATTCAGGGTCTGTCACTTGAAGTCTGTTGTGCTTATAAACTAGCATCCCTCCCCCTGACCTGTCCCATCTCCTGGAAGCCAGAAGACATCATGAGATCTTGAGCTTTGGTGTCCTGCCTTTGTTCGATGACTTAGGAAAGTGCTCTGAACCAGTCCGACTCAACTGCATTATCTTTCTCTGGAGTTTGATTAGGATCCATAACGAACACTGTTGCAATGACTTTCTGTATAAAAGTTTGTTCCCTTCACTCCTGCCTTTTTTTCCTCCCACCCACTCTCCTCTCCTCTCTTCTTTCCTTCCTTCCTTTCCCTTTCAGCTTTTATTAAGAAATGATGGACAAATTGTTTATATAGATGGCATATGAGATGCTTTGATGTGCATACTCATTGTAAAATGATTACCGTTATCAATCTAATTAACACGTCACCCTCTCATTAGTTGCTATTTGGTGTGTACAGGGCGGTGAGAACATTTAAGTTGTACTCTCTGACTCTATTTCAAGTGCACGATATAGTACTGTGAACTACGCTCGTCAGACTGTAACTTAGATCCGTGGAATTTATTCATCCTGCAATGTATGATGTGGCTGGGTAGGAGCTGGGTGCTCAGGTCAGGTGTTGCTAGTAATTGTGGGGCTTGAGTAAGGTTCTACTGAAAAGAGTTAGTGCGAGGGTCCGAAATAGATAGTTTTGAGGAATTTCCACACTGATTTCCTTGGTGATGGTTGGTCTAATTTACATTCCCACCAACAATGTACAAGAAGTTAATCTTCATTTTTATTTATTTTAAGGAGAAAAAAGAAAGCAACATTTCAAAACAAGATAACAGGAGAGTAACAGTGGTTAATACATCGCATAGTGTTACCTTCAAAGTAGCTACTCAGGGTACAAGATAAAGGCATGAAAGGTATCCGAACAATATAAGCATAAATCTTTCTTTTCAATGAATGAAGAGAAACTAGCAATATAATTAAGAAATACTTTAGCATAATATGTCAACTTGTTTCATTTATACTATTAGTTTCTTTTACTTCTTGAAAAGAAAGTGCTGTGCTATTAATTCTTTGTTTCTTCTTTGTAAGAGACAGTTTTTGCCTGTCTTGCAATCTGAGTCACTACTTTGAAGATAACGGTTCACAGTGGGTTAGCCATTGCTGTGTTACAAAATTTTGTTTTTTTTCCCATAAAGTAGAAAAGGAGAGAAAAAAGAAAAGCAAGTGCAGAGCACCTGGCATTGCTTTCTAATAAATAAAAGCTCTGGTTCTTTTCCCTTGATGTGAGCATACTTTATGAAACATCATCATTTCAACCCTCTGAGGCCCACTGCCAAGAGTCCTGCCATTATTTGCTCTCTTACCGCATGAAATTGTTGGAAGAATTGCATTTTAATTTCAAATAAGATTGCTATTAATTATTATTTATTGTTATAAGCTTCAGAATGAGGTGTTTGTAATGAATAGTTCTGCTCCTTTCTTTAAAACTTGAGAATCAGGGCTGCAGATAGAATACTTGTTTAGCATGCACAAGGTCCTGGGTTCAGTAACACACACACACACACACACACACACACACACACACACACACACAGAGAGAGAGAGAGATGGGCATCATCCTTTCTCTTTGAGAGTTAAACTATGAAATATGCAAAGTCAGACATATGCAGAACGATTCTCAGGTCAGCACCATTTGATGCGACTTAGTTGAATACATTAACATATTTAAAAAGAGAATGTCAATCAAAGGACAGAAAAAGTAGTCACAGAGACACACTGGCCTGTGCAGGGACAGGGGGAAAAGACAGCTGAGAGCCAACCGAAGTGATGCATTTGTGTTTCCAAAGATAAGGCTCTCCCTGGGGTGCTGAGAGGTATTGAAGGTGTCAATCATCTTCTCCCTTATCCTGATTCCTGCTTAAAGGTCCTGCGCGATCCTTAGTCAGAAGACACAGGTCTTTGTAGGAATGCTTCGGCCCCGGCTCCTCCACCCTGATGAGGACTCATAGAATTAAGAGTGAGCTCCGGACAGGACCTGAACTTACCAATTTTGTTTTGAGTTCTTGAATTTTGGGGGAAAAAGTTAGGAAGGGAATGAGGCTGGAGAGTTGGGACAGAGTTGGTAGAGAAATCACCATGTTGTGCAAGGTCATATTGACAAAAAGAGGATTAAGTGAAGAAGTGTCTGCAAGAAGAGAAGGAAAAATATGCAGGGAGGAGAGAGAGAGAGAGAGAGAGAGAGAGAGAGAGAGAGAGAGAGAGAGAGAGAGAGAATCTGCTGGGCTTGTGGTTCTACATCACCTGCCCTTCTCACCTGAGCATCAATGGCTGGGGACAGTCCCACCCAGCCATACCCACCCATACCAGGATGGTTAGTTGACCAGTTCTGCACTGTCATCCTATGTGAGTGACGTGAATACATCAGACGGAGATCTGAGTTCAGGTCTGCACCCACGACTCCTAGCTCACCACCAGGATGGCGAAAGCCAGCACCTTGTAATGATTTGGGTCTCCACTTGGTACATTTGCTTTTCACTGCTGTGATTAAAAAATACTATACATTTAATGATGTAAAATCAGGCAGATTTATTATCTTGCCTTTCTTGTTGGATGTTGGGCACTGATTTTCCTGGGAAAGGATCAAGGTTTCAGCAGGGTAACTCTTGCGGGTTAAGAATCCGTTTCTTTGTCTTATTCCATCACGAAGAGGCCTCTCATATTCTTTGTGCTGTTGACCCTTCTACCAAAATCCCTGGGATAGCCTCCCTCTGACCCTGTTTCTATTGTCAGTCTCTTTCTGTGACTCCCCTGGATACTCTTGCACTTTTTAGCTCCATGTGATTATATTGGGGGAGCCTGGATAAATCAGATAATTTACACATATAAAGATCAGCTCATCAGAGACCTTAATTCCACCAACGACATTAATTTCTATTTTCTGTTACCGACTCACAGGTTCTCAAGGAGTAGACATGGGGATATTTGGGGGCATCTCATTATTTTATTTCCCACTCTGGGTTTAACAAAAGGAGGAAAGAACAAAATACTGATGTGTGTTTGTTTTCTGGCAATGCTGTTTGGGCTTAGGACACTTTGGAGCTCCATTAGTAAACTTGTAAACTTGCCTTCTCTGATTGTCACGTGATCTTCTGAATCCACATTTTAGTGAGAAGAGTGTTGATTTTTTTCTCATCCTACAGGCTAGATTGGATCCCACCAAATCTAAAACTTGAGTTGCATATTTCATTTCTCTGAGTGTCAGTTTCTACTCCAATAAAATGCAGATAATAATAGGCTTATCTGGAGGAGGAAATAAAAATGCAACATGCTTTAAAAAACAAACAGAAAGGTGATAAATGCTACTTTCTTACTTTCCTATGCCTTTTCTTTCAGGTTTCAAGAGCCTGAAATTCTGATCTGAATATGCCAAGAAGTCTTTTCAGTCTGTCTTGGTTGCAGAAGTGTCGTGGTGCCAGAAATCTGGAGTCAGCGTTACCTCGTGAGGACAATCAATAATCTTCTGCCTCATATTTTGGGTCTTTTCAACCTCTGGGAGTGGGACTCCCCCTAAGGCTTCTTTTTGTCCATCTTGCCTTGTGAATAAGATGACAAAGCTCAGGAAGCCAAGACCATAATGCTTTCGGGGTCGCCTTGTGGAAGTTGCCAGGACATTAGCTTTGGGGGACCTGCTTGAATAATGGGAGGAATTAGGGGAATCTCAGTGGATTCCACACTGGCCAGGGCCTTGAGCAGTGCTGGCAAATCTTTTAAAGATGAACGCTCGAAATGGAGCCCAAACCCATGTATTGCCAGCACTGAAATTAAACCTGAATACTAAGGTTCTAGTCCAGAAGAAAGAACTCATACATTAACAACTTTGATCATAAAAGAAAATACTAGGCCCTAGGTTGCCACTACTGGCCTAGAACAAACACTGTCCCTGCCCCTGGTAAGCCTTTTATTTCTTTAAAGGACCTACTGCTTGCAATGCAGGTGAGCTTTTTGTGTGGCTGTAGCCACAATCATGGTTTTGTTCGTTGGTTTGTTTTGTGAGCAGAACAGATTTTTTTTTCTTTTGCATTTGAAGAAATTTGATAGCTTATGACTTCATTGGTTTGGAATGGAATCAGATGAAAGTCTCTTTCCAAAAATTCTAGAAGATTACTCCTATTTTAGCTGGAGAAGCAGTCTGCTAATGGGAAAGCGTAGTTTTCTAACTTTTATTTAGCTTTAGACACAGTGACTCATGAGTATTGGCAGCTCACAGTGCTGTAATCCACCTATTAGATCTTCTCTTGGTTCTTGGGTGCTCAGTGTTCTCAGCCTCAGACAAACTGGTGCAAAGATTATAGCTCTTCAGGAGCTCATAATAATCCCACCTTTTTTGAGTTTTAATTTTCTCAAGAGTTGAATTATGGCATTAATAACCATTTCGTGCCTCATATTTTTGGGTGTTTTCGATCTCTGGGAATTTCACAGTATTGTTGTGCTTTTACAATAATTGCCTAACCCTGCACCAGACGCTTACAAGCCCTTGGGAAGAAATACCTATCCCTTCCTTTCTGGATTCTCTGCAAAAAAATAGTTGTATATGCCTTAATTAAAATCATTTCTTGTCGGGCACAGGCGCTCAACATACTCCGCCCAGGGCCAAGAGCCACGTCAGCTTCCGCAATGCGTTATGTCCCTCTCCAAATAAACTTCTCCGCGGCAACTAGTGGTGTTTACTCCGTGGCAGCTTGTGATTGGCCACAGTCAGATAGGCAGCTTGTGATTGGCCACAGTCAGATAGGCAGCTTGTGATTGGCCACAGTCAGATATATAAGCCAGAACCCGCCTCAATAAAGCAGCAATTACCTGTTACCAACAAGAGCGTCCTCTGTCTCATTGGGGGGCTGCGCCGGTCAATTTCTCCCTCTTAAAAGAATTTAATATTTTTTAGAATATCCAAGGATAAAGCAGGTCTTCACAAAGAATGCACCTGCCTTTCCCTTAGTTATTTTTCCATGGGTGCCATGCACAGCTGCTTTCCTGTATTTGGAAGTGGAGAAAACACAGAGGTTGCTTCTTAGGAGTTAACAGCAGGATAACGCACTGGGTCACAGTAGTGATAGATACGCAGCCGAAGACGACACCATTCCCAGGTGGACGAGCCTCCACAGCCAGCTGAGTAATTTTCCATCATGGAAGGATGTGTCCACCAAAGCAAGAGCTGTTTAACTTTGAAAGCAAAATGATACGAAAGTACCAGAAGCAAATGCCAAGAAGATCATTCCCAGCATGAGAGAAGAGGGAGCCTTCACCAGTGACTGGAAAAATTCTTGTCCTGTGAGGTAACAAGTGGATTCCACCTCCTTTAGGTGTCTCTGGAGTCACTAGCAAAACCGCTCTGCTTTTAGAATGGAAGCATCAGCCTGTCTCTGCTGGGTGCCCTAAGCATGGGTTTGTCAAATTCCCCTTGCTCTGACTCTGGATGTCTTAGTTACTTTTTTGGGTACAAATACCCAATATGCAAAGTTAAAGGAGGATGTGTTTATTCCAGCTCATGGTTTGTAGAGGTCCATAGTTGGCTGGCTCCAAGTCCAGGTGACACGGAAGAGTGGCATCTCAGAGGAGAAGCAGTCCGTGGCATGGCAAGTTGAGGGCAGAGAACAGAAAATCCTAGTGGCAACAACATCAACACCAGCAGCAGGCCTTCCTCTCCCTTTTACCCCATTCAGGCCTCCTGGGTGGTCCTACTATGCGCTCAGGGTTGACCTTCCACTATCCACACTCAGGTCTGTGCTAAACTAATTTATTTAGCACAATTCTTAAACCCATATCAAACACCCTAACCCAGCTTGTACACCCAAGATCCAGCCACCTCCCAACCTCCCCTCATGAGGCTTTGTGGGGGTGGGGGACCCCCAGATGTAAGCTGTAGTGTAGGCTGACCAGGAATTCCCAGACTGGGTGGGGCTCGGCTCTTGTTAGAGTCTGCCTACAAGGGGAATCAGCTAATCTTAGGGAATTTGAGGTTTTTTGTTTTCAGTCTTTGTAGTGTCTTGCTGTGAGTACAGGGATTGGCATCCAGGTTTAGACAGGAATGTGACTGTTTCGTTAAACTGTTACTAATGAGAGATGGTTTCTTCTTCAAATTTTATAGTTTCCAAATAAGGTGAAGTCTCTCTTAGAACGGGAGCTTCCTCAGGGTAAGAAATACCAGTTTATGAGATGTGCTGGAAGACAGTCTGCTGGTCTCTCCTCTTGGTGCTAACCATCTGGCATTTTCAAAGAGCAGCATTTCACATGTTAGCTGTATCCCCAACTCACTGGACTCTGAGCGCCCACAGTAGCAGTGGTGCCCTGCAGAAAGATGGTGGGGTTTGGAACCAAGCAGACCTAGTTTTGATTCTGTCTCTGTTGCTTTCTACTTATATGATCTTGGGGCTATGATTTTAGTATGTCTAAACATCAGTTTCCCTCTCTGTAAAATAGGACACCTCATAGCAGTGTTTCCAAGAGAGAAGTGATAAGCCTCAACATTTTTAGCTGCAATTTTAGGTGCATTAGAAGGGGACTCACGAATGCAGAATCATAATCAAATGCAGATCAAGTATGGACCTTTCACTCAAGTATGCCACAAACCCATCATGTGTGATGTTTCCTTTATAGTTTTCAAAGATATGCCTCTTTGGGGAGGGGCTTCTCCGTAAGGAAAGTCTGCATCTAGGGGTCCAGCGACCTTGATGAATCTTTATTTCCCCTGCAAACCATCAAAGTTTAAACACTTCACTCTGTTTTCACTGTTTTAGGAGTTTTAAAAAATAGGATTTTCTCTCTTCTGTAGGCAGGACTGTGCTATAACGCTTTAGATCATTATGGGAGACAGTACACCCAGAGATGGAAGTCATCAGTCTCTCTCTCTCTCTCTCTCTCTCTCTCTCTCAACCTCCCAAAATTCTGATTGGGTTGCCAAGTGATATGGCACTTTTTGAGGGCTGAAAGTTTTGAGGCTTGTCACACTGTCTCCCGGCACGGCCACACTGAGGACCAACCTCTCACCATGTGAACCATTGAGAGACACGCTCCCTCCACTCAGACAGATGGCCTGAATTACTGTCCTCCCACCGTCCATCCCTCTCTGTGGTCTGAGCAGTCTTCAAATTCCATGAAACATCTGATGGTAAAGGTTGGTACAGAGAGTCTTTGAGCAGAATCTTCAGAACTTTAGAAACGCAACAATTTCTGTAAGACAAATTTGTCTCCAAAGTTATGGATCCATGTGCCTATGTCCACTTTTTCATCTGAGAGCAGAAACTCTGGGTGTGTGGTGTCATTCAGTGAGCACTTGGGCAGCTGGGGGTTTGAACGAGCCAGACTTAAGCAGAAAAAGCTTCATTCTTTCTTACATCTGCCCATGTCTGCCTATTCCCTGCTTTTGGATAACATTGTGGGGTAATATAATAGCTTTTCTGTTTACTCTTTTGTAACAATAGAATTATTTGGCTGCTTTGAGGCAATGAAAATTGAATCCAGACTAATATATAAGCTGCAGGTTTTCCTTCCATTGTGCTGGCCTAGTTCAGGTTTGCAAGCCAGCAGTGGAGGGAAAGATGGCTTACTTTTCGCCTCCCCACCTCGCCTCCTGTGGACCCTCCTGTGTTGGGGCTGTAGATAAGAAAGAGGAAAGGCAGAAGAGGTGACCCACGTTCAGCAGCCAGCTGTGTGTGGTCAGTGTATTCGCATTTCTGTGGTTATAATGAATATCAGAGCCAGGCTATCTTATGAAGACCAGGCATTCTCTCAGCTCACAGTTCTGGAGGTGACAAGGTGTGATGCTGGCATCAGCTTGCCTCGTATGACGACATCATGCAGATGCCATGACGGTGGCAGGAGGATGTATGAGAGGGCAGTCGCCTGGCAACACGGTAAGTCAGAGCAAGGAGGGTGGCCAGCCTCGCCCTTTTATAATAGTGCCCTCTGGGGAACCAACTCAAAGTCCTAAATGAGCTACCCCACCCCTGGTCCCAAGGACAGTGGTTCCACCCACCTGTGACCTCCCTTTCAGACCCCACTTCTTACAGACCCCAGTGTCTCTCAGCATGGACACGCTGAGGACCAAACTCTCACTGTACGAATCATTGAGGGACACACTCACCCCATGTTCAAACCACCACAGTGGGTGTGCACAAGCACAACCTCCTCCCCACGGCATCTTGTGAGTTCCTTGCTCCAGGTCCTGAACCTGCAGCAGTCACAGCAGGGTGCCTACTTTTGACCCCTTTTTCTTGACACCGCGGCCCCCAATCTTACACCCTTTACTCCTTTCTACTGAGATTCCTTTATTCTGTGCATCAAGCATTCATGGAAAGACTCACTGTCTTCAAATTCATCTAAAGAATTAACATATCGTAATTATAAAAGCAATGTATGTGCCATCAGGAAATCCCCAAAAATAACGAAACAGGAGATGGTCAAATTTCCTCCACTTACAACCCAAATGCCCACCAACGGATGAACAAAGAAATGTTCTGTGGTGCCTCCACACAGCGGAATACCACTGGACAATAACCACGAGTAAAGGCCATGGTGAAGGCCACAGCATGCATTGCACCTGAAAGTGACCACGCCACATGTCAGAGAGCAGACAGGAAGGTGTATAGTGTGATGCTGTATGACCCTGCTTATACAGAATATCCAGAAATATAAACATATTCATAGTGGAAGAAATAAAGAGGGAAGTTACTGCCTTTTAATAAGAACAAAAAGAAGGATCAACTGTCAAGAAATGAAATCTGGGGAGTCATGCTTATTGATTGTGGACATGGTTGTATCAGTAGCCAGCTGTACCCCTTAAATCCATAGAGGTTGTTCTATGAGGGTTCTCAATAAGGCCATCAGAATCCCTCACTGTGTGAGGGACTCCAGCTAGCAGGTTCGTGGCTGGCTGCTTCCCCCAGCTTCCATCTGGTCCCCTACTTGTGTCCCCGTAAGTGTAGCTGCTCGGAGGCATTCTGCTTCTCCAGCCTCAGCCTCTCACAGGCAGACTCTAAGGATGAGTCTGGGTCCCGTCCCTCTCCAACGAGCTGCACCCTGTGTCTCTGACACTTCTCCCGACACCCTCAGCCTGTGTCTGTGCCGAGGTCGTGGCCACAGAATACCTTTACTGTCATCTCTCCACGTGCAGGAAGCAACCCTCCCACACCTCCACTCTCTGTGTTCAGAGCCCTCATCGCTTCTCATTTCTTTACCCTTCTGAGAGTCTCGGCTTTTCCTGAACAGCCTGAGGTGAGTCATGGTCTCTTGAATGCAGGAGTAGCTGTTGCCAGTGTCTTGATTAAGTCTGCCGATGGGGTTCGGCACCTCAAAGGGTGTGTGTGTGTGTTGGGGGGGGGAACTACACGACACCCATTGTTCTTAGCTTTGAGGCTGCAGTTGAAACTCTGAAATGGGAACAGTCTCATTTTAATAAACTTTTCCACTTCATTTCACTGGGATGCAAAGAGATGAATTTCTCCTTAATCTATTTTTGGAGGTATATTTGTCCAAAAAATGGGCAAGGAGCCTCTGCCGTCAAGGCTTTAAGAAGGAGTTACAGATGAGAGAGAGAGAGAGAGAGAGAGAGAGAGAGAGAGAGAGAGAGAGAGAGAGAGAGAGAGACAGAGAGAGAGAGACAGAGAGACAGAGGCAGAGATAGATATGCAGTACATATTTTGGCCCTTTACTTTGTCTCTGGACACTAGGGAGCAATCACAGGTCTGAATCATTTCTATTTCCCTTCCCTGGGAAGGGCAGATGCTATAAACACCACGAGCATTTGCTAAAGTGCCACGTCTTCCAGGAACAGTGTCCAGAAAGGGGAAACAGTGGTGTCTCTGGCTTTGGGGA